ACCGTTTCTCACGGTGTTGCCGCTTGCAGATTTCTTAAACTTTTTCTTCAACCCTGAAGATGGGGGCGATACGTTCCTCCGAAACATCAGTTAACACCACATATACACGGTGCCAAATCCCAGAAGACTGCTTTCTTCATAGTCACCGCCGTGAAAGCCTCAAATCTTACAACTTATGTAAGATTTAAATAACACCTGTGAAAATACAAATCGACTTCCTTAAGATATAAAATAACACACTCCTTGTAGGTTAGGCCTACCAGTTCACTTATGAAAATACAAATCACCGTATTTAAGATATAAAATAACAAGTATGTTTACTATTTCTACTACTAATCTATATTAACAGAAAGTTGAAGTTAAAAAAATGCAGTTTTAGGAGTGTTGAGTGGAAGATCAGATACTAATAGCTCACAATATGGTGGAAAATGGCCTAGGAGCTAAGCGTGGCTTAAGAGTGAGTAAAAAAAAGGAAGAAAACGTTCAGTATAGAAAAAATTTAAATATAAGGATCACTATAGCACACTTGTTAAAGAAGATAACCACTTATTTTTTACTACTGACCGAATGAAACTGCTCTTTTGTACTTAAATTAAGGAGCTCTCAGATTCGCACACTACTGTACCAACATTGGCATTGTCAGGACAGAGGAAAGCCACAAACTCCAAACATACAGCATGCATACTGATTACACTGCAAAGTTTGGTCCTTTTGGCCCAGTGCCTAAAATAAGTATGAAGCTACAACACTTCGAGGAATACTTTTGATTATAATGCAGTTAATTTGTTGGTTCAAATCAGTATGTAGATTTCACATTTAGTTGCATGTGTATGTGGTTAGTACGAGTATATTATAAAATTGTTCCCTGCTTACTGTGTGTGTAGAACATTCACAGCTTCATGTTGAGGGTTTCTCATATATGAAAGAAACTTTTTGGATTATGAGTAAAAAATTAGTTTCAGTTCATGTTATTTCATTATGAGTTTCCACATGTTTAGGGTAAACCTGTAATTTTAGCATGTTGTGGCTATTTGAGAACAAAGTGTTCATAAGACCTAAAAAGAGGAAGTAACAGGATGATGGAAAGCATGACGTAATGGTCTTTACTATGTTAAAACAAAAGTAAGATGATCAAGAAGACTTAAATCAAGTACAGTGGAGTGAGACAGCAGTATTCTTATACCAGTGGTATTTAATGTTGATGCAAATGACACTGATAAAGTGACAGGAGAAGGAAAAAAGCCAGATATCAAACAGGTGGTCTAGATTTAACACTCTGTATTTGCTGTGTGCTCAGTTTGAATCCTGGCTGTGGTAATGGCTATCCAGATTTGGATTTTCAGTGTTCGTCACTCTTTTCAGGCAGATGCTGGAGTAGTACCTTGATTAGGTCACAACTGATTCTTTTCCAGTCCTTTTCATCCCATCATCCAATACTATATAATCTCAGTACTGAAATAAAGACACATTATAGTGTCCTGTTGCACAGTGTTTATTAATTAACAAATATCTCTGATATTCTGTCTTACATGCAACACTCCTTTAAAATTTGTTTAAAAGTTACTAAATATACACAATGAGTCATAAACCAATTTAAAATCACATTGTACGTGGCATGTTTCGACCGTCATTGGTCATCAGGTGTTTTCAAATTTTCGATGTGGTTTAAACACAGCACAGCAGGAGGGAACACCCAGAACAACAAAAAACATGAACGTGTAATGGGACTACGCATTGAATATTAGAAGCACAAGACGCAAGCACAGCAGTCTCCACAAACTGCTTAGAACTTCTGATGATGACGAATGGCCGTCAAAACATGTAGTGTGCAGTGTGGTTTTAAATAGGTTTAAAAAGACTCATTGTGTATATGTAGTAACTTTTAAACAAATTTGTAAAGGAGCATTGGATGTAGGATGGAATATCAGATATTTGTTAAATAATCCAGTATGGAAGCATTGTTAAATAACCTATGAGAGAAACAGCCTACAAAAGACCAGCAATGCAAACGTTAATATTTACAGTGTGTCCATATGGGAAGGATGATAAGGAATTATGGAACCATATTATGAATAGATGTGGGTTGAGAACAAACAGGACATCCATGGAATGTAGATACATGCCAGAAGAAGACTAATAACAATGTTTATAAACAAGTGGAAACATTTTTTTTTCTTTTTGATATGGAAATAAATTCAGAAAGGAAAACTTGGATTTGGATATACTGCAGCTTGATCTTGTTGCCTGATATGATTACGCTGGGCTAAGTTGTCGCGTGTAGCCTATGCAGCGCGACAATATTTATGGTTTAAGTTTATAGCTGAGGTTCTGGGGGATGTGAATGAGGAAATGGCATGAAGAAAGTATCAAGATATGCATACATATTTCTTCGTTTTGTAGACATCTGTAAAGATTTCCAGTTTTCCTGCTCATGTCAAGACAGCATCCCACATTTAGTTCATCTGTGAAAATCCATAGGGGCTATAAGAGCTACTATCATTTGCATGATACTGTTTGCAGAGTAAAAGGACATAAGAAATTTTGTATAATGAAGACTAAGTAGCATTTGATTGCTTGAAGGGAACTTTATAGAAACTGAATTTATTCTAATATCAGAGAAATGTGATGTGAATATTTGAAATTGAAGAATTAATGTTCATGAGACTTTTGAAAATTGTCATTACAAAGTGTTTGTTCTGTCTTGCAGGATTGTTCGTGCTTTCTTAATTGAAGAGCAAAAGATTGTGGTGAAGGTCTTGAAAGCACAGCAAGCATCTGCAAAGTCAAAGAAGGGAGACAAATAATGTAACATTTTTGAAAAAGAATAACTCAATCTTAAAATAAAGTTTATGTTAATATATCTGTTGTGTTTTATATATCCTAGCTTCTGCTGCCATTCCACCTCAGTAATGATAGTGAAGAGTATAAAATTCATATACTTTTTGATACTGTATATAGTAGGGTTCTACTAACATTAAAATCAGCGGCCTCCAAAGTGTAGGGGTAACGTTCCCACCTCATGACTCGAGGTATGTGGGTTCAAACCCGGTGGAGGTCGTGGAATTTTCAAGGGCAGAAAAATTCAGGGAAAAAGTCCTCCGGGAGGGACTTTAAGCCGTGGTTCACATGTAGATTTACGGCACGTAAAAGATCCTCATGTCTCTAGGAGACATCTGAGCACAATTAAGCAAAATTTCCCATCCAAGTAGTTTCCAATGCCTCCGGTAGATGGGGAAGTTATCGGGTACCAATGCCAGTAGAGGGCCGACCTCGCTGGCAGAAATGGGAGATAGCAGGCACCAGTATTGGTAGGGTATGGAGACAGTAGAAATTAAAGGGGGACGTACAATAGACCTAGTCACAGTGCACAGGGAGCCCCATCCCCTCTATACTGAATAACTGAACATTAAAATATGAATATAAGCTGTATTAATAAGAACTACAAGTTTTTGGCAGTGGTACTTTAGTACGAATATTATGTTTCTGGACTCATCTATAATCCTGGTTTTATCAGAAACACTGCCCTGTTTATTTCAAAACGGCATTTCAGAGGCTGGATTCTGTCTACATTTTCAGGCAAAACCTACTCAGTTGGGATCAATTGCTAGAGCTAGTCCCTACCTCTGGGTCTGGAGATAGGGACTAGCTCTATCAGTTGGGCCTAATTGAGTAGATTTTGCCTGAAGACAGAGACCAATTCCAGCCTCCAAAACGTGTTTTGATTTTTTTTATTTCATTTCATGCATCCTGTTGTAATATAATGTACAATTTCTTTATTAAAACCATCACAACACAACTATATTAAGGTCAACAAATAACCAAGGCCTTCAGAGTGTTGTGCCATTTATATGATCACGTTTCTGACTTCAAAGTTCAAGCCTGTACTGTACTAAAGGTCTGCTTTATGTGATATGTAATGAAAGTGAAACTTGGCACTGACCTTAATATAGTTGTGTTGTGATGGTTTTAATAAAGAAATTTTATAGGATGATGGATAATGTCCAGAAACATAATACTTGTATGATCTGTGTTCCTTGATGATGTACCACCATGTGTTGTCTGGACTTATTTTGTAAAGAATAAGATGACTTGCTCTTAATGAATGAGTTTATCTTCTAAATGCTTGCCTTGTAACTGCATGAATCTACATCCAGCTAGTGAAGGCTGCATTTAGAACACTTGACTAAAATATCTGATGTAAGAATGTTCATGCTAGTAATACTGTTGATTTGGAATCTGTAAATACAGTAGTTTTAATTAAGTCTGTTATAAAATATCCCCCCCCAAAATATATATCTTCATTATTGCTCTAGCTGCATTTATTCTATGGATTTATTTGTGGTTAATGTATGATATAAGGGTGTTCAAAAAAAATAGGTGTCCTAGTGTAATGTTTGTGTTAGCATTTTGTTTTTAGTAGGTGGTTGCACTTGGGGTAACATGCAATAAATGGTGTGACATTCGGGCAGATGCTGAATGGATAGATTCAAGGTTGATGTGCAGTGACATTGGGGACGTGGTCCTATGAAGCTCATGGTAAGGTGATTCAGTTGTTATGGGTGAAAGATGTTGCTCCTGTCAAAATGCACTGTTGTTAGAGGTATATAATTATGGCATGATGAGTATGCAGCATGTCAGCAAATGGTACAGAGTTTGAAATTTGTTGAACATGATGACACTGGTCAGACAAGCACATCAAGGGCAGATGTGAATGCAGCACAAGCAGAGCAAATGATTTTGGGAAGCTGATGAGTCACAGGTCAAGATTATTCACTACATTGGAGTTGTCTGTCAGAACTGTACACAAGACTGTCCATGAAGAACTGAGGTACTGCAAGGTGTATGTGCATTGGGCACCAAGATGTCTGATGGTAACACAAAAATTGACATTTTGAGATTGGTGTTTCTCATCTTCATTGGTTTCAAGAAGAAGAAAATGCAATCCTGGAATCTATAGCGACAGGTGAGGAGACATTGGTGCACCATTTCACTCCTTAAAACAAGCTAGAATGTAGTGGAGAAACATAGATCCTCGAGGACCACAAAAATCAGTGTGTCAGTCTGCTGGAAAAGTTATGGTCTCTGTAGTCTGAGATGCAAAAGGAGTCATCCACTTTGAATTTGTATCTCAGCAATCATTTAGCAAAACACCTAAAATGACAATTGCTTGAGGCTATTCTGAGGAAGAGATCTGGAGATATGCCACAAGGTACAAGCCTTCATTACAACGATGCTACCCCGCACATCAGGCATGAGTTCTTGTTTTGCTGGGAACTTCTGAATCAACTATAGTTGTCTCTCTGCCATTGAACTTCATCTGTTGGGCCTCAGAAACACTTGGGAGGTTGTCAGGTCCACAGTGGAAAGGCTGTTAGTGAATGGTTGCAAATGCAAGAGCCCTGTTTGTGCTGCAACAGAATATTTAAGCTCATGGTAAAGGTGGGGAAAATGCATCAGCGTGCTTGGGTATTATGTTAAAAAATAATGATATGTCAGTGGAAGAAATGAGCTACATTTAATATTGTAACTTCTCATGTAATTTGTATGACATACAAATCTTTAATTAACAACAACCCATATGTCATGCTAAATATTTTTGGTAATATCTGTATTATTGCTTGTGTGACCTGGTGAATATTCGAGAAAGCTTGACTGTCAACATTTGCAGTAAGCTCAGATTGGCTGAGGTGTCCTGAAGAATGGTCACAATAAATGAATTAGTTCTGTCCAGTGATTTTCTTTTCAACTAGTATGAATCTATGGTGGCTAATGAGTGTCTGTGCAGGTTGGGCCAGAACCAAATAATAGAACCACACTCATCTCTGAAGGTCTGTGTTCAAGAAAAGGGTGAGAATTGGTATATGTATTTAATCATGTTACATAATATCTTTTTTGACATCTTGGCCGCCTTTGAGTTGGGAGATTGGGACTTCGCTCACAGTCCATAGGTTGATCTATAAAGATTGATGGACTTCCTGACAGTAATAGCTGCTTCAGGAATATGTGTCTGCACGTCCTGTCACAAGTAGGGCTGACTACATTTCTCCATCTTTCCTTTGAAATTGAGCTTAAATTCAGTTCAACACAACTGATTTCTTTGCAGGTATCAGCACTGAAATGATTTGTTACATAATACAAATAGTCTGTTATAATATTGCTGTAAGAACTTTACTATGTAGTCTTGCATCTGTACTTTTCATCATTAGGATTGTTACATATTTCATCAATGCATGCTGTCTGCCTATTTTATTCTTGCTTCATATATTGATATGCTTGGTGGGCAGTTATAAGCTGGAATTATATTCAAATGGATCATACATAAATTCATTGTTGGATTCAGCAGTTCACAGGACAGGACACAGTTGTATGCTTTCGATTTGACAAAACATGGGAACTCTGACATCTCTGAGTGACTACCAACTTCTGAAGTAGTATGTGTGGAGATAAGGCGTTCTATGGCATTTGAGTGTATTTATGAAGATCACAGCATATACTTCTGGAGCTGAGCCCTTCTTGAGGAGAAGCCAAATCTGCATCTACTCAAGAATTTCGCAGCATTTTATGGAACCCCGAAAGTTCATTACCATGTTCAGAAGAACCCTCCACTGCTCCCTATCCTGAGCCAAATCAATCCAATCCATACCATCCCACCCTCTCTTTCTAAGATCCATTTTAATATTGTTCACCAACCTACGTCTTGTTCCTCCCAGTGGTCTCTTTCCCACCAATATCCTCCTTGACTTGATCATTCTAATTATACTTGGAGAAGAGTACGAGTTATGAAGCTCCTCATGCAGTTTTTTCCAACCTGTCACTACATCCTTCGGTCCAAATATTCTCAAACACCCCCAGTGTATGTCCCTCCCTTAATATCAGAGACCAAGTTTCACATTCATACAGAACCACATGCAAAATTATAGTTTTGTATGCTCTAATTTTAATGTTTTTGAACAGCAAGAGACTATTTGGTCAGTTATGTGAACATCCCTGCCGATCCCAGAGCCTATTAATTTTTTTCTCATCCCAGCTCGTTACGGCGAAGTAGCATTGTAAGATATTCCAAAGGAATGGAATGCTTTCGCGGAAGAATAATCCTTATATTCATAAACTACAGCCTAAATTTCACTCCCACTAAACTATGGGTGTCACTGAAAGCATAGTTGTGGGAATTTTATGTCAGTGTCTTTGTTGGCGTGCACTCTGAGTTCGTTCCATATACAAGAGTTCACTGATTCAATTTCAAGGCTATGTGCGATCTCCATGGTTGTATGACGTCATGAGTTTTGTCTTGAGTAGAAAATGGCTGCGTTAGGTAGTGAACGGGATTGGGGTGGAAAGGCAAGATTACTGTTAGGATTAGGGGTGTTCTTAGGCGAAGGAAATTCGGGTGAGTACCAAGGTATTGTTATTAATTCATCTTTATCATTGATTAATGCCTGAAGAATAATGTGTATGATATGGCTTCTGCTGTATCACAGCATCGAGATAGAATGTTTACGAATGACTGAAGAAAAAAGAAGTTTTGTATACAATTGCAGTTTGAACTAGTTACGTTTATGTCGTTTCAAATAGCGTCAGTGCTTCCACATTGTGTTTTGGAACAATATAATAGGTTAACATTAGTGCAGGTGAAGAGGAATATTGATATGTCAAATTAGTGATTTATATGAATTCAATGTGCCGTATCACCCAGAATGAAAGTGTTTAGTTATATGTAGGTGTTTTTGAACCAGATATTGAGAGAAGAGTTGTGTGTCTTTTACAGCAGAATGTTGTGACATGTATGTGTTAAATTGGCACATGTTCCACATAAGTTGTAGCTGTTCCTATGCCTCAGGTAATTCATGCAGTAGTTGGCTTCAAACTTGCAACTATTTATGAATCACTTACTCACTCATGGAGTTGAGCCCTTCTTAAGAAGCCGCCAATTGTGCAGCTAGTCAAGAACTTCCCAGCATTTTATGGAACCCAGAGGTTCATTACTGTGTTCACCGGAGCCCTCCACTGATCCATATCCTGAGCCAGATCAGTTTAATCCATACCATCGCATCCTATTTCTCTAAGATCCATTTTAATATTCTTCGCCCATCTATGCCTTGGTCTTTCTAGTGGTCCATTTCATTCTGGCTTTCCCATCAATATCTTGTATGCATTCCTCTTCTCCCCCAACCAAGTAGGTTTGTGTCATCTTTCTTATTATCTCTCTTGATGACATGAACCTACTTGGTTTATAAATTCCAATAAAATCTTAATAAACCAATTACAAATATTGTAACATATTGGAACAGCTGCTGTAATTGTAAAAACTTTAAATTTTATACCCAATTGTGTATTATTAATATTATATGTATATATTTTAACGTTCAGAACATATATATATATATATATATACATATATAGTAACTTCCAACTGTATTGATGTAAAGGTGCCCCTCTGATGATGTTCTCTGAAGACCAAAACATGTAAGGGCATAAATAATTGAAATAAGAAAAATCTTCACCAGTCACACTAGATGGGAACTATTTAACTTTTCATGATTTTCCCAAGCTCTATTAATATCCACCTCAGCATCTAAATTTTCCAAAGCTGCAAACCTATTTGAGAATTCAGCACAATACTACTCTTTGCCCTCTACCTCATCTAATTTATTGAGATTGAACCTCTCCATATGAAATCTGTGCCTTGTCTGTTTACTCACCGCCAGTCTCTCCCTAACCTTTACCACCACCAGGTAACCGTCAGTATCTCATTGCACATCAGGTACACCTGAATGCTATCCCCTGTCTATCAAAATATGACCAATTTTATTGTGAGTCTTTCCAGCAAATGTCCAAGTAAATTTATGAATGTTACGATGTGGGAGTACTTTTGTCAGTCAGATTTTATGATATGACAAAGTTTACTACACTAACACCCTTATCATTAATAATTTCGTGTAAATTCTCGTTCTCAGTTGTTGGTTTGAAAATGTCCTCCCTACCTGCTATGGCATTGAAATCGCTTAACAAAATTTTCATGTGGTATTTAGAGAATAAATATTTATGAATATCTTCAGAAAATATGGAAGATGTATATGTATGTTAAAGAGGCATTTCTTGACTATAAGAAGTATGGAAATGATGCAAGTGTGTTTGTCTGAAGGTTTTTTTTGAAACAAGTACAATTTGATATGCATATTTAGGTGAAGTAGAAGGTGACATGAGGCTGGGAGATTGAAATTACCAACTTTATTTACTTCCTCTTGACATAAATCTGTCATGAAGAACCCACCCATTAAATGTGTAATGGAAGTGAAGAGATTAACATGTAAATACAATGATTGAAATTTGCTGTTGACAGTTTTACAAATCAGGAAGACAGGCTTGTAATGAAAATCTTTGTTTTGTAATGTTTTCAGACTTTAGAGACACTTGTATATACCATGTGTACGTAAGTATACATATTCAACCTGGTGGTTATAATGGCATACAGTAAGGTGCTGCTTCACTGTCACACCTTTGTCTATTGTGAATGGGTTTACTTTTTTTATTGTTGTTATTGCTAGTGGGGTGGAACTAACTCCCTTGTACTGCGGCCACTTCTGGCCAATTTTGCCAGCCCCAGATGATAGGTGAGGGTGATTGTGGAGCAATTGGTGGAATGAAGATTGGCAGGGGAAACCGAAGTACTTGGAGAAAACCTGCCCCAGTGCCACTTTGTCCACCACAAATCCCTCTTGACCAGATCTGGGATTGAACCCAGGCCACCGCTGTGGAAAACCAATGACTAACCACTTGAGCTATAGCGCGGCCGAGATGGGTTTACTTACATATTATGCAAATGACAAAAACGTATTTGGAACTAATTTGTAAACAGGTGTGTTCCTTAAATATGTATATAGTAACGTAATATTGTAATATGTATTAGAGTACTTCCGTGTCATGATAGTATAGAACAAACACATGAGTGTGAATCACAGTGTGGAAAGAAAAGTTCACCTGAGATAAATAATTGTTTGAAATGGTGATTGTGACCAGTTACGTACGTCTCATGTGTGCAGTATGCTGACATCCACTTTTCACTGATAGACATAGTTTAAATTTGAAGAAATGTTCATTGTATATTTTTAGTTCAGTTTACAATTAACATGTGGTATGTCTAAGTGAAAAAATGCTATGAAAAGCTTGGCAGTAGTTAGAAATTTCTTATTTTTTAATAATTTTCTGCCTTTTGTTATTTTCAGTTTCATTCAAACTTGTGACATTTGACACTATTTTGAAAATTTTGAATGCTTGAAATTTGGATTACTCTCTCATTTTGAAATTTTAGGAATTTTTGTTCTTTTTTTATAATTTTCAAGATTATAAAATTTTTCAGTATTTGGAAATTTTCAGACTTTCTGTTTTTTAACATTTTCTAAAAATCGGAGTTGTAAAGGATATTGGGTTGTGTTAGTTTAGGTTGGCACAGTGGATAGTAAGCCTCTGCCTATGCATTCAGGCAGCGCATGGTCAGATTGGATTTGGTTAGATTAGCACATCAGCATTTGCATTCAGGCTGAGCTTGGTCAGATTAAGTTAGGTTAGGTGGGTGCATGAAGCCATTATGCATCCACTTCCATATTCAGGCAGAGATAGTGAATTTAGGCTAAGTTGATGCACCAAATCACAGCATCAACTTGTGTAGTCTGGAAGAGGTTGGTCACCTCAGATGAGGTTATGTTTTGTGTTTTATGTTATGTTGGATAAGGTAGGTTTGGTTGGAGCATTACCTGCAGATTAAATTTTTCAAATATTTTCAGTTCAAATTTGTCGGATATCTTCTAATTAAACAACTTTCTTGAATTTTTAATTTTTTTTTTTAATTTATGAGTATTTCCCAATATTTTATATTTTATATTTTTAAGTGTAAGTTTTCGAAATTTTAGAGTCATTGAATAGATCACAGATGTAAGTAAAACGGCTGTAATGTACGTAATGGGTTTTCTGTGTGTGTCACTAGGTAGCAGCACAGCCCAGCTTCAAGACAGTCTAGGTAGTAGACGCAGAGTGCATATGCATGTTCAGAGGATGATTTTAGTAGTGAAAAGGCGATTTTGCTTGAGGGGGTTGCTACCGAAGAGCAGCGTTCTGTTGTGCGTTTTTTCATTGGCAAAAGGACTTGATGCAAAGGATGTTCATAAAGAAATGTTTCCTGTTTATGGTGGGAAGTGTTTGTCGCGCGAAGCGTTTCACAGCTGGGTTGAGAAATTTTTTGAAAGGCGTTCGGTCAAGAAATGCTCTCAAGGATGTCTGAAAGTCGCAGATGGTGCCCGACCAGGTCACCTTGTTGAGATTGCAACAGAAGCAACTGTGCACTGGGAGGAAGAGTTGATTCAAGCTGACAGGAGGATAACAATAGACAGTGTAGCAACTGCACTAGAGTGTTCCCATTGTTTAGCATACAGCATAATTCATGCTAGTTTGAAGTTTCGGGTGCCCAGAGAACTGAATGGGTGTACCCTTGCAGCAGATGAAGGAGAGATGCTTAACAGGATTGTTATAAGAGACGAATCATGGAAACATCCCAATTCATCTACAACCAGAAAGCCAGGAGTTCGAGGTTATGCCATCAGCTGGGAAAGTTATGTTTTCCGTGTTTTGGGATACTTGGGGAGTATTGTTAGCCCATTTTCAGAAGCATGGTGAAAATGTTAATTCTGCATCGTACTGTGTAGTTTTGTCGAAGGTTCAAGATGCAGTTTGCAGAAAACATCCAGGCAAACTGGCAAGAGGGGTACTGCGTCATCAAGACAATGCCAGACCCCATGCAACCCGAGAAACCCAGGAGAGAATTTAAGAACTACAGTGGGAACTTCTTGAACATCTGACTTTAAAGCCCTGACTTGGCCCCAAGTGCCTTCCGTCTGTTTGGTTCGCTAAAAACCCACCTTGGTGGCAAACGATTTCCTGATTACAATAAGGTTGAAATGGAGGCGTGGAAATGGCTGAAATAACAGTCAAAGAATTGCTGGGTTTTTAGACTTTTTCAGTCGTCCGGTATTCTATAAAACAACACGACATTTTGGAAACATCCAATTTCCGGAAAGTCGTGTTATCGATTTTCCAGAATACCGGATGATGGGAAAAGTCCAAAAACCCCAGTAATGCTTGTGTTATCAGCATGAGGTTTGGACTTTTCGAGATTTTCCAGAATACCGTTTCTTTTTTAGTTGCGGGCATACATTTGAAATTATTGGAAATATTAAAATTGTTGACATGTCTAATTTTTTCCCCACATTTTGCATACATTTGAAAGTACAGTACAGGCACAGCTGTCGTTGTGCTTAAATAATTAAGCACTGCCTCATGAAGACATGCGGGGGAATGGAGGTATAGCTTCACAATTCTTGACCTCAGCACTAGGTG